AAAAAAAAAAAAAAAAAAAAAAAAAAAAAAGAAAAAATGCCGACTGCTAGAATTAAAAGTGATATTTCACTGTCGAAACTTGCCAGAGAAAAAATAATGAAATAATAAAAAAGAATAGACAAAATGGAAGAGAGAGAAAGGAAATAGAAACAAAAGGGAACTAGAAAGGATATAAAATATGACAGTGAACGCGGGAAGATAGCGCGTTCCCAATGGAGCACTCCTGAAACACGATGAAATTATTTCGCGAGAATTCGTGCTACTCTCCTCTCCTATCCTTTACACGTGTATCGATAAATAACGTCTTAACAATGGCCAGCAATGTTTCTGGTCGCGATAAATGTTTCTCCTTCTCTCTCTGAAATTGCTAGATAATCGCACGGTATGCGCGAGACAAATCGACGAATTCTATATTTCCCATTTCTCCATTCTTGCACGATCGTGGCATTTGTAAAATTATCGAAATTTAATTTCGACCAATGCCTTTAACATAAAAGAGAAAAATTCCATTTTATTCGAATTACGGTATTTTTTCACTTTATAAAAGTAAGCTAGAGTACTTAATACTTCGGTCATTCAAATCAGATATTTTTCAATTTACCATTACTCCGCCGCGGTAAATTCGAAAGTTCAACACTTTCGTCTACGAAATTTTTAGTATCACTTTACGGCAGGCCTGTCACGAGCTGAGAAATTTAATGTTTCACCCTCGCATCGACTGTTACGAGGAACATAATAAAAAATTCAGCTAAGAGCGAAAGAACAAACGCAAGGTAAACACAGGAGTTTTCAGGAGTAATTTTGGGACCGGAGGTCTAGACGCCGGTTGAATGGCGTCGCGATAAATCCTGCGCCGTCGGAACGATCCCTGTCTTCGTCAGTGTTATGGAATCGCGTAATCGGCTTAAACAGAAACTGTGCTGCCTTCCCGTCGGGGGCTGAGTTTACGACGGATTCGGCATATGATCCTTTCGCGCAGATCGTAAAGGAGTCGCCGGCGAATCGATTGTTCAACCCTCGTCGTTCGCCACTTCCTCTTTCCGTCTCGACGATGTTTGCGTCTACGATTCCTATTCTTCCGCGCGCAGACGACTTTAGGAGCTGTCTTGGCTGATTCCGCCGGAAATGAACGAACAGACTTCTGTAGACCAACTTGTTTTCCCAACTCTGTCTGTCTTCCAAGATACCACTCCCAAAATTTCCTCCGAGCTTTTTAAATACGTGGCTCGACTTTTTTCTATACGTTTCATTTCTTACACACATTTAAACAGAATTTCACAATTTCTTAGTATTAGCATTTGTACTTATTAGTATCAGTATTGGTATTAATATTTGTTTCTATTAGTATTTGTATTTTTTAGTATTAGTACTTGATGCTTACTTATGTTACCTTATACTTATATACTTGACACTAATAAATATAAGTAATTGCAAGTATTCGTTAGTGCAAATATTAGCAAGACAGCGAAATACCTTTCTAACAAGTATTTTCAATTATAGCAGCACGGAAGGGAGATTACGATTGTAAAGAACTGTATATAACGAATAGAAGGGGAAATTTGGAGACTGGAATCTCGTGGAAATTTTCGTTTCAATCGCTATTGAGCTGCTCCATTCGATTCGACTCGAAATCTATTGGCGAAGAAGCGCCGAAAACAGTAGCAAGCAACGCGGTTAAATGGAGGGAGGCGTTCACGCGACCATGTGTTAATAAATGATCGTAATTGACTTACTAATGAACGTCGTGTACGGCGTCGAGTGGGAGTTGAACGTACTCGAGTTGCACACGTCGTCGGGTTGTTGGCTCCATTCCGACAGTTGCAGCTCTATTATGTGGCTATCCCTTTTGTGAAACATCAGGCACACGTAGCCATTCGTACTGCAAAGGAAAACGATACCTTTGGTTAGTAGAACGATTAACATACCATCATCCAAGTGCGGAGAAAGAAATTTCGGATTCCACACGTGTATATTCTACGTTCGAGAGAATTTTATATATAATATTTTTGATTAAAACTGTATATGTAACTTTTTAACAGAAAAATAATAGGCATCAACATTCTGAAATCTAGTCTGCACCTAGTAACTTACTCTCAAACAGAATCTTCCTAACCCAATAATTTAAGTAAAATCTTCTTCCTGGATGAAACAACCGCTATTTAAACCGGGGCAGCCAGGGAGAAGCCCCGGGATAAAATTTAGCAACTCGCGAGGGGAAATTAAAAAAAAGGAAAAGCTGGGAAAAAAGCTCGACTACCAGTGCCACACACAATATCGTCGTAATAAAATTACAAGTTAATACAACCCTGGAGGCCACGAAACCGTGGATGGTGGGAAGGGGGAAAAGGAGGGGGATGGGGGGGAGGGAGTGGTTGTTTCATGAAAACGAGACACGTCTAATAATCGAGCCAGTAAGCCGTAAAAGCTGGCGATGGTCGACAAAGAGGAAAAATAGGGGACGAAAAGAAGAGAATGGCCAGGGGTTGGAAAAACAAGGGTAAAGGACCTTAAATCTTCGGTCGCTTCCGTGGTTCGGCCAGGATTAAG